GGCTTCTGGGGGTTCAAACTCAGGCTCTCACATTTGTGCAGCAAGCACTTTTCTCACTGAACCATCTCCTCGGCTCCCAAAACATTCTATTGTGAAGTTTTCAAATATAAAAGTTTCTTTCACAGAACTGGGTTGATATGTTAAATGGCATCACTGTACTACTCATTCAACTAGAGAAGATGGTCGCATTTGACATTTATTTATTTATTTATTTATTTATTTATTTATTTATTTATTTATATGACAGGATCTCAGTATGTAGCCCTGGATGGCCTGGAAGTATCTATGTAGACCAGGTTGGCCTCAGACTCACAGAGATCCACCCGCATCTGTCTCCTGAGTGCTGGGACTTAAGGTGTGTACCACCACACCCAGCTTGATGGCTTCGTTTGAAAAAAAAATACTAAAAAATGCAACCTATAGAAATTGGAAAATGTAAAAAACCTTATGTAATCCAGGCCGTATCCCTGATAACACTGCCAACATTGCAAAGTGTTTCTTGTGTTTTATATGTATACAACATTTCAAAATAAAAAATAAGTTGTACCTTGCTTTCACTTGTGTTAACATTGATGACTACTAATTAATAATCAATAATGATTAGTGATTATACCATTACATTTTCTATGAAAATACTGGGGCTCTGTTTGGCTGGTTGGTTGATTGGTTGTTCGGTGGTTTTTGTGCTGGTGATTTAGCCCAAGGCTTCATGCATGCTAACTACGTACCCTACCTGAGCTGCACATCCTCAGTCTGAAACTACCATTTTTATTAGATGCATAAGGTTCTGCCACATGGATCTACTGTAATCCACTTAATTGTCTTCCTTAATTGGAACTTTCTACTTCTGTTTTGAAGATCTATATGATCAACACTTAATGCCTGGGGGTGGGGTGATTCCTGTCTGTCACAGCTTCCCATCTTCCAAAGCTCTGGCTTAACTTCTCCCGCTCTGCATGGAAACGGAAGAGAAGACAAGCTGGGAAATAATTAGCCTGTGTATATCCTTTGTACCCCATCTTATCCAAGTCCAGTCTCCCCACATCAGGCTAAACAAATCAGTGCCATCTGAGTGGTAGATTTATGGATTGCTGCTACTATCTAAGAAGTCCCGTCAGACAGAAGCCAGAAGGATCACTATGAATATTTAAATTGGAGTGAAAAATCCCAACCAGCTGGGACCAAACCCCAGCCAGTCCAGGAGAGCTTTGGATACCACAGTCAGACCCTGGGGACTGGCAGATAATAAGCTCTACTGCATCGTGTCAGTATCTTCCTTCAGAAAGTGACTCACAAGTCACAGTTAAATTGCTGGAAACCACTTAACTGCATTTGGATCCCACTTACTGTCTTTTGGCTAAGTTTGATGGTTTTACTTTAACACGATCTTCCAAATGTTTTAAATGGCAAGGTTCTAGATGACACTACATAAGGCTGAATGGAATCACCCTGCACCTTGCTCTGGCTTCTACATAAGGCAATGAAAAGGGCCGGGGATATAGCTCGGTTAGTAGACTGCTTGGCTACTATGCATGAAGCCCTGGGTTCCATCTCAGGCACCACATAAACAGGGCGCCACACAGGGATGGGTGCACAGTGTTATCCCAACACTCAGGAGGAGGAGGCAGAAGGACGAATAGTTCAAGGACATCCTCGGCTACTTAGCAAGCTTGAGGCTGGCCTGGGAATACATGAGATTCTGTTTCAAACAAAATAATAAAAAGCAGTGAAAAACACACAAAAGCATCCAAATAACACTAAATCAAGGAAGTTGTTAATTTCTTCTCTTATTGAAGAATCCTATTTGGAATTATTCAACTGAAGACACATTTTCAGTGGAAAGGGTATATATAAAACAAAAAATCGCAGCATCCATTCACCTCGGTTTCTTTGGGCACCTTAGTCATCATTACACCTTCGGCACAATATTCCTGGTTCTGATGAAGCGATTCATGCTGCTTTAAGTGAGCAAATCAAGTTGATTACAGTAAGGAACACATAAAATAACAGCTGCAGGAATCATGAACAGCTTAGAACTGGAAGCCTTTCAACATCTTACACCTTTTTCTTCTTTGTGAACTTGGCTGCTGAAGCATTTCCTGCAGCTAGTCTCCAATAGTCCAAATGCAAATGAACCTGACTCTGTAGTGACAGAAGGAGGAGCATCTCCTTAATGCAGCCACATGTCCTTCCTAAGGTCCCTGTCTCTTTTCTCTTCCTCCTCTGGCCATAGCTCCTCAAGGCATTTTGGCAATTGCTGGTGCTTTGGGTTTTCCTACCCTTGACAATACAGTAAGCTGGAGTAGGTGCTGGATCAGAACCCAGAAGACCTATCTTTGTTTCATGATCACACCTACCCCAGAGGAAAGCTGTTCAACCTGCTAGGACCCTAAATCCGGGTGCATTCAGTTTTCAAGTTAAAAGACTACGACTAATCTTAATTATGTATGACTTGTTTAGAAGTGGAACTTTGCACAAACTTTCCTGGCTGTGGACACTTTATCTGCACATTTGTTGTGACAGATGAAAAATTCCTTTTCATTTATTCACCAAAACTTTACCCGAGATGCTGTGGGAAAGGGAGAACCTTATATTCATGGGGTGGATCTTGAAGGGCATAGGCTTTGAACTTACTTTTGGAAAGTTTCTTGGACCAGCGGCATAGTTCAGTGGAAGAACACTTGCATAATATCCATGAAGCCCTAATTTGACACCCCCTCCCCAGGACTCCCCTCTCCCCCAGGTAAAGGAAAAAATGTAGCCGAGTTTCTTGTCCCTCAAGTCAGGAAATCATATATATTTCTCTACAAGTCAGTTGTTTATTTACTATTAGAAAATCTGAGAATTGGATAAGATACTTTCTGAGGTTATTCCTCTGATTCTAAAACAACTACATCATAAACACCTCTTAGAGGTACAAAGACAGCATGAAAATTTAGCAAGATCATTTAATAATGTGTATGTGGTTTGAAATATCATTAAAAACAAGCTAAATGGCCTAAAAATCTTTCTTGAAAAGTGGCAAGGGTCCTTACCATGTGAAGATGCCACCTGACCTGCATTTTTCTCCTCATGCCTATTCCCTTCCCAGGGGAGACAATGGACTCTGCTTCTGTTCGTGGCTTTGCTCCTCTGGTCGGTGATGGCTTCCTTCACAGTACCCACAGGTGTCCATTTCCTCTTCCTGTAGGCTCACTAGGCACTTTGCCTGCACTGAATTCAGTTTTTCAGCATTTGTAGCAAGCCCATTGTCTTGCATTATTAATATACAATTAAGTACGTTACAGCTATTATGGAACAGATAAAGTGCCATAGAAGCACCAAAGGGGAAGGATTAATTTCCACTAGCAGGATCAGGAGAGAGAGAATATTTGCTCATAATTGTTTTCAAGGGCAAGGTCTGGTGTGGGTTTCTGTGGAGTGGTGATGAAGAGCAATAATAAACGATGATGCTAAGCTCTCAAACCTGGGTCAACGGAAATTTGTTAAATAAATTAACTTCTAATGGGGTTAACAGTGATATGAATGCCATTTTCAATATAGCAAAAGGGATAAAGCAACTTGTGGAACATTGGAGATGCTGAACTCAATGTTAGATACTTTAGTAAATGTGCCTGTGAATAGATGATGTGGCCCTGTTCAGACAGGCCCTTCTCTGACATCAGAGGAGAAAACTACGAGGCAGCAGCAAGCTAAGTACTCTGCGTTTACTGATTATTTTTTATTTATTTTTAGAAAGGGTCTTATGTATACCAGGATGGCCTTAACCTAACAACACAGTAACTAGGTAGCAGTGGATAATCTTGAACTTCTGATCCACCACCTCTGAAATGATGGGATTACAGGCTTGCACCATCATGCACTTTTATGTACTGATTTTGATTCTAACAAATATCCTATATGTTTCTAAAAGTGACATCTGCATCGAATGACACCTATTAGCACAAAGAACTTCAGGCTCTGGTTAAACGTCTGCAGAGGAACTGTAGTTCAAACCCGTGGCTCCCAATTTAGGCTGTTTTTGTTAGCACCCTCTTCCTAACCACTAATAGTGGTGATGGCTGATACCTGGGGGTGCAGATACCATTTGGAGGAGTATCAAAGATGCTAGACCTAGTAAGAGGATTTTGGGTACAACCCCTGTTTAAAGGTCAAGGATGAAGAGGAGCAAAGGAAGGCCATCACGCGATCCCCCCCCCACCCGCCCTGCTATCCTTTACCTTTCTGATAGACCCAAGCGGAGCTTCAGACTTACTTGGTATGGCAAATGCCAGCACAGGGGCTAAATTTCAGTGTGTGTGTGTGTGTGTGTGTGTGCGCGCGCGCGTGCGCGCAAAAGCGTGTGTGTGGTTAGGAGAGTGTCCCGGACAGGGAAAGGAAGGGATAGCCAAGAACATTGTTGATGGATTCCAAGGAGGTGTAGTTTGAAGCGCGATTCTCCTGGTCAAAGCTTTCCATAAGGAGTCCAAGGGTAGGCTGGGAATGACAGTCCAGTGTATCAGGTGACCAGCAGCATGGGAAGGCCCGACTAGAATCTAAAAGGCACATGGGGATTCGGACATTCAAGGCAGGGACACTCTGGCAGGCAGCTGACAAGGGGGAGCTGAGGTTCTTTTACTCGGCGTCAGGAAAGACTGGCTCCCCGAGCAGCACTCCAGATCCCACGAACTCTTCTGGCCTTTGGCTCGGGTCAGCTGTGGTTCGGGGACACTCCCGCCTGCTCCTGGCCCAGGCATCTGGGGGCTCGCTCCTCGGAGATGCGCACGCTCCCCTTCCTTTCCCTGATGGAGGAAGGGATGCTCGCGAGTCCTCCCGTCGCGCGCTCACTCGGCGGCCTCCGCAGAGTGCGAACCCCGGCCGCAGGCGTCTCGCCAGGCGCGGGAACCCAGACGCAGGGCGCAGCCTAACGGTCCCGCAGCCTCGCCCGCAGTCGCCCCCGCCCGGCGCCGATGTTGTTGCCCGCCCGCCCCCTGCGTCATGACGCCGGCGCCCAACGCGGAAGCCGCTCGCAGCGCGCCTGGTCCAGCCGCGGGCTGCGCGGATCCCCGGCGGGCGCTGGACCGGGCGGGGGCGCGAGGCAAGCGCAGCTGCAGCCCGGGCGGCCGAGCGCGCGGAGCGAGTGGGGCTGGAGCAGGCGCCGGGCTGCGGCTGCCCCGGGGGATGCGGCGGCCTCCCCGGGCCAGGGTGTAGAGAGGGCGGGTACCCGGGCTCAGCTGCGCGGCTGTGGAGGGGACCGAGGCGGCGGCCATGGCGACCCCCGGCACCCTGGGGTCCTCCGTCCTGGCGAGCAAGACCAAGACCAAGAAGAAGCACTTCGTGGCTCAGAAAGTGAAGCTCTTTCGGGCCAGCGACCCGCTGCTCAGCGTCCTGATGTGGGGGGTCAACCACTCGGTAAGCGCTGGCTGCGGCTCGCTCCCCTTCCTCCTCTGCCTCAGGTCGCCGCTCCTCGCGCTGCAGCGGTGGCAGGGCGGGGACCTCCGGCCGCTGTGCTCGGCGGGTCCCGGGCCCTCCGGATGCTCGCATCCTGGGTACCCTAGCCCCAGGATGCGCGTCCGTCCCCGGGCCCCCTGCCTCGGGGACTTGCCGCTTGCGCCCCCTTGGAACCTCGGGCCGCGTTGGTGATCGGAGGGGTTCCCGGTGCTCCCGAGCCCCGTGTCCAGCGCGGATGTCTCCCCGCATCCGTCCTCCCGCGGCCCGGGAAGTAGGAAGTTTGTGCGCATCTCGGCGGTGCCTCAGCTGTCACCGCGGAGGGGTCCGCTCGGGGCCGAGTCTGCGCGATGGCTCTCCTGTGGGACCAGTGGGCCCGCGTGTCCTCGGCAGGCGGACAGGTGTACCTGTCCCCGGCTGGGAGCGTCCGAGCTTCCCGCGGGAGAACAGGGGTGAACCAGATTTGGGGCGGCAGCTTGAGAGCTTGCCTCCTTTTTTCCCTTTAAAGGCAATATTGTCGGACCCAAGGAGGGTTGTGTTTTTTGTTTTTTGTTTTTTTTTTTTCCTCAAAGGAAAAGCCAATGTAAATTTGACCCCGAGGCTGAGAGGCTTCTCTCCAGCATCGCCCAGTGGCTGTGCTGGCTGGAGCTCCCGGCGGGGAGTCTTCCTCCCCGCACCTCCTCCCCCTCCTTAGCGAGCCAGGCAGAAGTCACCGACTGCGGAAGGGCGACCCGGGTGGGGATGGTCGGTGGGGGTCCCGGCGGGCTCGGGGTCACGATGGTCTTGAGTTGATTATATCCTTTGGGGGTTTTGTTTAAAGACTAATGGGGAGTGTGTTGGAGAGGTTAGCTTTGCGCACGTCCTGGGATGGAGGAAGATGCACGGCTGCGGGCTCTGCGGACTGCGGTTTGGGGGGCCGAAATAGCTTCCTGCTGATATCACAGCGAGAAAACTCCTGCACCTTTAATCTACTTAGATCGGATCAGGAAACCTGATAGTTGCTGCTGGCTGAGCCATGAAAGTTTCAAGGAGCTTGAGCGTTTTGCTCATGACCTTACCCACTGCAGTCAGCCAGCTCCGGAGGCAGTCTGTAAGCCTGCTGTCTGTGCGTTTGATTTCCCTGGGTGCCCGGGTGTCCTTTTCAGCCTAATAGAAGTGTCAGAGGGCCACGGTGTTTTGTTTTTTTTTTCACCCTCAACGAAGTTAAAAACAGTTCAAAGTATCTTTTATTTGTATATTTCTTCCTCATGCTAAGCTGGGGGGAAAGGCGAAACAGCATCAGGACGACTCTATTTGCTTGGAGTGACTTAAAGTTGAGAAACTGTTATTCTTCTGATCCATCGAAGTTCACTTTAACTTCCTGACTTTAGCTCTTAAGAATGTCAGCTGTTAAAACAGCAGACACCACTGCACCAAACCTCCCCCCAAGTTTTATTACAGAAAATGAAATTAAAGCTTTCCTTTATAATAAACCTATAATTTAGTTATGTCTGATTTTTTTCAAGTTCTTCTATTATTTGTGTTGCTATTTGTAGGCCCCTCATTACTGCAATAGGACCTTTATAATACGAGCTGGGCGCCTGCGTTGGAGCCTACTTGTGTTTATGGATCCTTTTATCTCCCTTGGAGTTCTGGTTAGGAGTGTGTGTGTGTCTCCCGGTTTAATCTAGTAAAGTGGTGTCAACATGCTGCTGAAAAAAAAAAAGTGCTGTCTGGGAATTAGGCTGAATTGCAATCCACTTTAGAAAAGGTTGTAATTGGGCATGCAGTACTGTAACATCTGGGTTGCTACCTTGTATTTATGAATTGCTATATTAGTTTTCAAGTTGCTTTCTATCTGGAAACACTTTGAAACTAATATTTCTAAAATAATGTATGAGTAGATGGTAAATATATTTACTGTTACTTTCTTTTGTGCTCAAGAAAAGTTACTAATTAATTCTAAGTACATGGGGGGGTTGTGTGAAATTTCCATGGTGTATAATGTAAGATGTTATTGATTCAACAAATATATATCAGCATATACAGTGGGGAAAGTTGTCCTTGATCTTTTGTTTTGAAGGATGTGGGTTGACATCTGTTTCACAGTCTTCATTTTCAAATGATGTACTTTTAAAAACCAATAATGACATGTAATTCTGGTTGATTTTAGGAAACAGTTATTGGTACCAGAAAGATGTTTTATCATGACATTCTGTTCACCAAAGTTTATTGTCTAATGTGAGAATAAGTCCCCAGTATTAACAATGGGCATAATGCAAATAACACTAGAGAAATGGCCAAGAAGCAGCTAATTCAAATCACAGCCATACCCCTATAATTCTAAGGTGACCAGAATTACCACCGGGCTAGCAATTTTTTGCTTTAAAATTTCCTTCTGACTTTTCATTGACTATTTAAAAGTAGCAATAAAGTTGGGGCACTGAAGGGAAATTATGTATTTTTATCCTGTGAGCATCTTACTAGATGATTAGGCCTCTTCCTCATGCTAGGGCAAAAAGCTCATGAATTCTTTTTTTTTTTTTTTTAATTCCTACTGTTTACCTAGGCATATCAACCAGTTTTTTGGTGGTTTTTTTTTTTTTTTTTTTTTCCCACCAGTGTTTGTTGTTTGTATGTGGGAAGTGAGGTTGTTGAACTGGATAAGTTACAAGCTTTTTCTGTTTGTTTTTAACTTCAAGATTTAACTATTTTTACAGTTTGATTGGTGTATAGCATCATGTTAAAAGAGTCCTAGAAAAGTTGCTAATGAAACAACCTTAAGGGCTTTTTCAAAGCCTGACTTGGAGGGGGATTGGAGACCTTTGGTGATTTTTAGAAGACTACATGGAGTTTGCTAGATTGATTGTAGTTGAACTGTATTGCCATCTGTTAAGTCAGAATCTATTTGATTGAAATGTAAAAACTTGCAATTAAGGCAAATGCATTCAGGTTCATTGCAGTGGTAATGAATATCTTGATTTGGGCCATGCTTCGAAGAGTGTAAGCCTGATATTGTGCAGTTAATTTGATGTGTTACTGCTTTCTAACTTCAAGTCTCCATCAGTGAGTGGATTGGTGCCAATTTTTATTTTAAGCATTTTAAGCAGAGAATATAATTGAATACATGAAGGAAAAGATGACTTAAGAAGACAGTTTTATCTTTGAAATTAAACTAAAAATGATCAGGCAGTAAGTTTCTTAAAATGATATTTTAATAGTGTGGGGAGCATGTTGAATGATAGGACCCAAGACTTGTTTTAAATAGATATTCTAAAAGATTTTTATATACTGTGAAATAAGAACCTTTTAGAAATTAGTATTTAAGCCTTGTTTCAATATCTGAAGGAAGAAACAGCATTATCTAAGTAGAGACACTTGTATAAAACAAAGCCAGATTATTGATGTTAGAGCTTTGTGGCTTTAAGCCATAGAGACACAAATAGTTACAGGAAAATTCTTACGTGTTAGCAGAATTTTGGGGACTGTCACAGTAGAAGGAAGGATGGGGAACCAGATCGTGATAAGAACCCTGTACTTTGGTGCTGTCAGACTTTCCTGTCCATTTTGGCTTTATTTATTCTTGTTCATAGCTGACTGGAAAACCCCATGGGACTGGGAGCTAATGGGTTCTGAATGTCATCTTTTCATTTCTGTTTTCCAAAGGAGTTTATGTCTCCATTTCAGTCCTACAAATCCCACCAAAGGATCCTGACTGGTCTGGATTCAATAAATTGTTTCTTCTCCCAGGACTCAACAGTTAGAAAAATGTTGCGGGAGAAATTTTATTTAAAAAACTATGTGGGGAGGGAAGCTGGAGAGATGACTCAGTCGTTAAGAGCACTGGCTGCTCTTGCAGAGGACCTGGGTTTAGTTCCCAGCAACTGCAAGATAGCTAACACCCATCTGTAACTTTAGTTCCAGGAAATACAGTGCTCCCTTCTGGCCTCTGTGGTGCATTTACAAACATGCACACCAAACATTCATACACATAAAGTGAAAATAATTTAAAAAGAAAAAGAAAAAAAAATGTGGCAGAGGAAGAAGTCCTCCAAAGAAGAGCAGGGGCCGGGTGGACAGCATCAGGCAGACATCTACCCTTGTAATAGAGCTGGGCATTGATTTTGATATCTTTGGGTCCTGCCAGTGGGAATCTGTGCAGGCCAGCCTTACAGCAGTATGCCTTGTTTTGTGTGGTTTAGAGAATCTAAACACATAGAGTTTTCTATTCAGAGCATCTGAAGCTTGCATTGTATTCTCAGCAAGGTGGGGTCTAGAAATAGATAATATTGTGTTAGGGAAGTGTGATTTCTGTTAGATTGTGGGTTTGCATTTGGTCACTAAGGGAAAAAGACAAAAGAAGACTAGGTTTAAAAATGGTATGAATTTCTATGGGATGTTAATGATTGAAAACAGCATAATAAAGCAATTAAATGAAAATAGAAAGTAGCTGGATATTAGGTGAGGGTCATGGAATGGAACCCAACCAGCCATGCATTCCAGAACTAGTCTCACACTATTTTTTTCTTTACTTTTTAGAAGAAAAGTGGTACTCAGTATGTGAGTTTTATTATTAAGGCAGTCATTTAATGCTCCTTAAAGGATGGGATTATGATTTTTCCTTCATTTATCAAACATCTTAGCACAAACTGTAGTATTCAGAATGCTGCTCCACGGCAGGATAATCTGCTATGCCTTTAAAAGATGGTCAGCAAGGATTGTAATAAGCCAACAAAATGTACTTTGAGTTGATAGAAAAATGCTATCAACCAGAGTAGCTAATTCTGCCAGCATGCACTTGAGATGCATAAATTGACATTGATGCGAGTTAGTGCGATTTGGCAGGATGGTTTGTGGTCAGACTGATTAGGTTCAAGTCCTGGCTTCATTGTCTGTGGTCGTTAAGCAGATGGTTTAACCACTTGAGCCTCAATTTATGCGTTCTTAACACTCTGATAATGGTGATTACCTCATGGGGTTATTTT